TGCTATTGATCTGAATATACAGTCTTTCTTCTGAGAATCTCAGCACCTAACCTAATGATGTATACAGATTTTTCACTGTCCACTTCCACTGTCATTTCACATGAATTAAGCCAAAATCCCAGAAATTTCATATTCTGTGTATCAATGCACCGTTTCAAATTACCTGCTTGATGACAAATATGATCATACTCACCGACTTTGCTTGTGGTCTGTGATTATTTCCCTCTGCCTCTCCCGGGCTGATTTTTCCTCTGGAATCTGACGAGACGGTTTCCTAAATAAACCTGCTGTCTTTAGTACGGTCTGGCTCTGGCTCGGTGACTGTTTCCATAGTATGGATGGCGTCTCACACCATATGATTGCCTATAGTAGCCTGTCGACGGTCTCTGGCTGATTCTGGTGATAGTCCCAATATCACAAAGATAATTAACTACATCCTTGCCAAAAAGCAGGTTAGGCATTGATTCTGAAGAAGAGGAACACAAAGCTTGAAATTCAGCTTTAATTTCACCTCACAAGGCTTCTTTGCGTCTGTGAACTAACTCACTGTTTGTCGCTCCCAGCAACCCAAGCCCATCGTTTCATATCATGCATGAACAGCATGTGATGCATGTGCACACAGAAGCTTTAGTTAGCTTTTAACCACCCCAGTTGCAATTTTTTGAAGCGCTTTCTCAACATTCCGTGCGTTTCCCAAGATGTTATCCCACAAAATCTTGTTTAATTCTGGAACGTTAAGCACATCACAGTTCTCAGGCTTGTGGTATGATTTTATACGCTCTTCATTGAGCTTGTCACCATCGCGAGAAGTTTTCAAATCAAACAAAGTTTTGATGATGTCTGCAAAGTTGTGGTCAGTGGGCTCAGAGTATCCATCAGCAACTCCGAGACTTTTTCTAAAGTAAGAGAATTCATCCTCAAGTGGAATACTTGCATCCTGCAAGGTTGAGCACATTTTCTCAAATGGGTCATTAATAATGTCCTAAGCGTTAGCACGAAGTCCCTCGGAATCACGAGGCAATTGTGAGAATTCAATATAATTGTCTCCTCCTTCACCGAACTCATAATCCAGAAAGTAATTGTCATCTCCATAAGGGTGAACTGTCAAGTTCCTTCTACTGATTTGAAAGATGCCCCCAGTTGCGAAAGCCACGTCAACATTTTCTTTAGTTCGTTGAGCATAAGTGCCATTTCTGTTACCAAATGCGAAGTCCCCGCATCAGGTACACTTCCCTCCAAACTAGTGGAAGGTTTAGAGCTCGCATAGCTCGTAGAATTGGATGTCTTTGCTTTAAATTTTCCATTGGATTTAGATTCGTCCTCCGCAGGGACCATATTACGAACGTCGTCCCCCATAGTGGCTGCTGACATGGTCAACCACGTGGTAAGTCAATATTCAAGTGGAAATTCTGACAACTCAGCAGGTTGCCAAACTGTAAAACTGCTATAAATGCGATCACCCTGGGATCAGCAAAAAACTGCGTAATTGGCTACCAATTATCCTCAGAAAATTTCAGCTCAGAGAACAAAATGTATCCCGAGCAAGATAGTTTCAGTTTTGTCCCATCTACGCGACAAGGTCGCACTGGTCTACGCATATACAGTTGCAATCTCATGGAAGCCCTGAATCACGTGACTGGAGGGTAGAATTAGATTAAGTCAGTGTCATGAGCGGGTCAATATATAACGGTAAACACAGCTTGTCATTATCAATCACTCCCTGTTACCGAGACATTCATCTGATGATTCACATGATGAAGGAGTAAGCATATACTCAGAAACGTTGCATTCCTCACAATAAAGAAATTGACATCCACAAATTCTCTTCCTTATGAAAATACGCTCTATCACATCAAAACATCGCAATGAGCAACTTGAAAACTGAACTTTTGCCTTCCAACTGCATCTCCCATCCTCAGAATGGATGAAACTAGATAGGCTACACAACGATTGAATGATGTGTGTGATTTTGTACCCAAAGCAAATTTGTAACCAAAATACTAGATTATTTTGTCCCCATAAAAATACAACAATAGGTCTCTATATATTGTAAAGAATAGTAAATAAGCACAACTTATATTAAACATCTGATCAATTTAAAGATATGACAAGGACTGACTGTCATCTTTGAGTGTGGCCAGTCCAATTGGCAAAACTCAAATTGATTGTTAAGTTCTAACAGGAAGGTGACATCTGGTCACTGAAGAAGGAGCCAAATAAAATGGTTAAACCTAAGTTAATTGTATTGTTTTGATAGGAAAGTGATAGTAAATTAAATTTATGATACTAAAATTAATGTATATCTTTGAAAGTAATGCAAATGATTCTGTGTACAAAATGACTTTAATTTTCACAAAACCAGGGATGCGTATTGGATAGTGTATTACAATATTTTATGACTAGAAATTGGCACTAGTCCTACTTTCCTTGCTAAACTGCCCAATAGTTAAGGTATCCTGAGGAGTTGCTGTATGTTACCATTGTAATTACTTGTGAGCCAAAACTGTTAGTTTCTGGAACAAAACATGATATTGGTACAGCATAATGGTTACTCATTCAATAAATACTCATGGATTCATGCTCCGGGGCAGTGATGACTTGGCATAATACCATTTCCACAGATGAACTCCAGAATGCGAACTTGCATTTTCGAATTATGGAAACATTTTGAAGGTATTGTATGTGTATAACATTAAAACATTTGATAAAATCACTACTTGAAATCACCCGATGTTCCAAGCATTATCAAATGATATTGTGATATGTATCATAGAAAAAATGAACTTCAATTTACCGATTTACCAGTAATACAGCACACCCATACCACATTTCAACTGGATTTCATGAAACGAAGGGATATAAAAAAATGTTTGCGTCTGTAGGATTCCTTTTTTTTTAAATTTAAAATGAGTATATATTTTTTGTATGTAACCATGTAGATCTAGGTATATGACTCATCTATTGTCCAAAGAAAAGAAAAATAATAATTTGAAAAATATGGACACCTCAGAAATAGGGCTGCAACGAATACACTATGTGGCAAATAGGATTCGTATCACGAATATGGGTAATGACTACGAATATTAATTCACGAATACAATAACAAGTCAGCAGTTTATGTATCATTTGTCATATTCAGTGAAACAATAACATAAATTATTTGACATCGTTTATTAATTATTAATATATTATACATTTATATACTGCTCTTATCCAGGTACTAGTGTCTGCTCAAATGCGACAATGACCAGTGACCACAATAATGTTAAATTAAATATCATAAGAGTGTCGTTTTCGAAGAAATCTATGCATATAATATGTTCTTAAGGATATTTTGGGGTACAGGGTATGTAAATGCACTTGATTGCATATACATAAATATTCGATTCTTTTGGCCACGAATAACAAATTCAATTCATGAATGGATACGGTTCGATTCACCGAATACGCAAGTGAATCGTAACAGCCCTACTCAGAAATGAGGGCTTTTAGAGTTATAATTCTATCTAACTTGCCACATTTTTTTTATTTTTATGACACATACAATTTCAAGCACTTAAACAAGGAGTATTCAAGGAATGGCAAATACAATTTTTTAAATTGAAAGTACAACTTCTCTTGACAATCCTTTTTCATGATAGCAGGAGCACTTTTATATAGATCAACTGAGGAACATGTGATACTGTGATTGCATAAAAGGGAAAAACAGGTTTGCAGTAGTACATGTATGTGCAAAATAATCCACATAAGGTGACAATGTCATCAGTGTGTTCCATATGAAAGAGTACATAATAGGGTAATCAGGTTTACACGGACGTTTGGTTTGCAGATTCCTTATTTTACATAGACAACTTTGCTAAAATGTATAAAACAGTTCCTGAAGATATCTTGAATGGTTCTGACAAGCAGGAAAGAAAGGTAAAATGCAGCTGAAAACAGATGGAATGATAAAGCTGATTTGTAAATAGTATACATATTTATACTACCGACAAAACATAAGGGAACTGTTAATTTGAATGTAGCTATCGTTCCGGTGTACATTTATATTACCATGGTTTTGCTACTGAAAGCAACATCTAATCACAAGTCAATGAAGTTTCATATCATGCATGAACAGCATGTGATGCATGTGCACACAGAAGCTTTAGTTAGTGCGCCTATAGGGGACTCAAAATCACTAATGCAATTGAGCTAAGCACCCGCAAAAAATGCCTCCGGAGACAGTATCTCAATGAACAGACAAAATGCCAAATCGTGGCTACAATAGAAATCAATATCCCAAGCTGCCCGAACAAAAAGTGCAATTTCTCGACTGTACCATCAAACAGGTGGGGTTACTATTAAAAAACACCAAGCTCAATGATGCTCACCTGAAAGCATGGAGTCCTTTATTTAGAGTAAGAGCTTACCATAGGTGGCAAAGATTGGGGTGCGTCAGGCAAGACCAGGGATGGGCTAGGTAACACCAAGGATGGGTTTGGGCGCAAATGGAGTTAACATGTTTACAGATGAATCAAGGTTTTGCCTCAGATTCTCAGATGGCAGAAAACTTTGATGGCAACGTAGCAGTGATTGGTATGCCAGGTCAACAATTCTTGACCATGATCAGTATTGGGGTGGTAGTGTTATGGTGTGGGGCAGTATTACACCATGAAAGGTGAACTGATATGGTTATTGTGAAAAGACATTTGACTTGCTAGCAATACACTGACAAAATTTTGCTTCCTGTTATTGTTCCTTTTGCTAGAATTATCGACAGAAATTTTGAACTGCAAGAGGACAATGCCAGACAATATTGTGCCCAGGCCATCACCGATTATCTCTGACGAGATGGCATATAGACAAGGGACTTGGTAGAGCATATCTGTAGGATGTTCTTTGGAGGAGAGAATATGCCAGAGACCCAGCACAGAAAATGTACCATCATCACAGTTTTACTATCATTTCATCCGTTCCCTCATTTTTTGTCGGTTGTATACGATGCCAGCTTTGTTCATTACCTTCATTAGTGGAGTCTTACTATTGTTGTCACCAATGTTGGTCTTCGCCTTCCATTCCAAAAGCTCCTGAACCACCTTGGCATTACCTTGTGCACATGCTAAATGCAAGGGCGTTCTGAAATAAGACAGTGATAAGATTGCAAATAAAAAATAAGGTACTGGTATTTCATCATAGGGGAGTGGGCGGGCCAGCGGAAAAAAGGGGGCTGAGAGAACTTATCACAATAACAGCATGTAAGGCAGAGCCATGAAAATACGACACAGTTCCTTTATTTCAAAGGGACTGGTAATTTATTAGATGGGGTGGGGAGGATTGTGCAAGGAAAAATGTTACAAAGTATCAAGTTGAACAAACTGAATCCTCTCAAGGTCAGGAAAACCTTTTAACAAAAGCGGTTCAATTACAGTAGCCAGTGCCAATAATGCAATCAATTCGTGAATAACTATGTCAGGTTTGCTATGGTCAGATAAGATTTGGTTTGTCAGAGGGAATCAAGGAGGTTTACAACAAAATAGACTGGAAAGTCATGAAAAAGTTAATCAATATCAATTAAAAATATCAATATAGCCTAGATTCATTTCAGGTTGAACTATAACAGACGCAGCTCCAACCCAATGTTCTTTTGAATACCCCCAAATCTTCCCGTCAGAAACATGTATCAACCATCAATACTTCACAGGCTTGTACACACTACTTTCCTCCATTGCTGCTTTGCAGTGTAGTCAATGTTTTCAAGCAACAGCCTGGTTTCAGAGGCTGGCACCCAGCAAGTGGTAAGACCTATAAAGTGCTCTAATCACATTGGTAATTTTCATCCAGCAACATGTGCCATAACCTTGTAGTCTCTAACAGAAAAAGGCAAAATGTTACGTTTTTTTGGTTTTTTTAGGAGAATATTTGCTCAAATTTGATTATTTGCACAGATTCTATTCTCTGGGCCCAATGGATTTTGTATGGAGCTATAGTTGTAAAACCAGACATTTGTTTAAATCAAAACTTTATAAGAAAAACATCTTGCTACAATGTCTCTTTTGTGGCAGACAATTTATTTCTATTTTTCAACAGTCTGAAGTACAATAATTTATTTCAATCATTTTCTGTAACAATTTCAAAATTTTACATTACATTGTATATTTATATACTTATCCTATCTCGTGGTTGTGGTGGGAATCATCATGGTCGGGTGGTTATATGGTGTGTGAGATAGGATAGGTATGAATATAAACATACAATTTAATGTAAAATCTTCAAACTCTTCAACTTATCCTATCTCACACAATGAACTTTATCCCACAGTTGGACAGTGGGGTGCAGTTTACCCTAGCCTGTATTAGACAAAAACCATGAGAAGAACAAATCTTCAACCACAAGATTGTGACACAGTTTAGTGTCAGAAAGTCATGAACTCGTGAGCGGGTAAAACACAATAACAAGTGAGAAGAGACCCTTTCGTTACAAGGACATAACATCGCATTATCATTTCAGAAATGACCACATAGTTTTGAAGTTGGGAACCCATTCAACCATGACCAATAATTAATTCTGAAGGTGTCTCCAGTTAATTAGTTCTACAAGATACGCTCAAATAGACTTCTAGGTTAAAGACCAGGGCCTAGATTTTCGAAACAATCTTAGCTAAGATAAATGCAAAATTCAAAGATTATTGTGTTGAAAACGTCTACCGTATTTGACGTAATAAGCGCCCAGGGCGCTCTCAAAATTAGAAATAGGGGGCTCTTATTAGAATAGTAATGTTTTTAGCCTGAAATGTTTATATACGACAGATATATTTTTCCAGCATTTAATTGCCCATAATTAAGGGTTCATTTAACACACGAGTGTGTATTATACACGAATAAATAAGTCTTGTGTACATTGATCAATCGGAAGGGGTGCTAATTGGATTTGTTCACTGGCCAATATATCAGCAAATATCGCCGTGGGCGCTTATTAGAGCCGGGCGCTTATTACGTCGAATACGGATTTTTTATATTGATATTGCATACTTGGCTCATGACACTGCAGCCGTCAACATTCACTATCAGCTCCTGAAACAGTTGCCCGATTCAAGTTTGAGAACTCTACTTAATATAATGGACGAAATGTGTACAACCGCAAATTTCCCTCCTCCATGGCACAATGCTTTTATCATTCATATACCAATGCCTGAACAGGATCATACAGATCCATTCAGTTACCGTCCAATATCATTATTAAACTAGCTGATGAACCTTCCATCAAACAACACCGCATAAAACTATCACTGCAATACATCGCTATACATTGCATTCCAATCAATCAAACACAGCATACAATTGTGTTTTCAACCTGTTTCAAAATTTGCCAAACCTGGGAATACCAGTTGGAATCAGAATTCAACTACACATCACTGCAGCTAAAATAGATCTAAATATTAAATCACCAGGGTTTGGCCTAGGCTTTCAAAACTGGGGGTTGAAAGAGAGCAGTCGATGTTGATCATCATTTTCCAGAAAGGAAATTCAATTTGTTTTTGCATATATTCATAAAAATTATTTCTACATTCGAGTCATGATTATCAACAGAAATACTCGTCAGTCACTTTCATCGATAAATTAAGTGTGCATTTAACTCTTCTATTATGCATGTAAGGGCGTTTTGTAAATGAAATAGTTTTCTTTATAACAAGGTTACACCAAAGACATGGAACTTTCATATGCTTGGTGTTACCTTTTTTTAAGTTTGAATAACTTTTTCTTCAGTCGTCTCAAAAACACTTTCTCAGTGAAAAACAGGAATTGATATGATAAGGAAGCATTCATTTACCTCCTTTCTACATAAAGATGGATAACTCATACACCAAATTAAGCAAATGGTAACACAAAGGACAGGAACCTTTTAGACAATCATGTTTTGCATATGTTTCATTGTTTAAAGACAGAAACATAGAGTTAACTGATGTTTATTTTAAAGATTCTTATTCTTATTAGTAAAATAACAACATAAAAACTATATGTTCACTGAAAAATGCATTCGGGGTGTCTATTGACAGTGATATTTCAACAATTTCAGACTATAGGACACACCACCATAAGCAAATAAAACACCAACAAGGCAAATGTTCGATGATATATTTTAATGTGGTTCCCCACTGAAATATTAGGGATAAAAGTTAAGGGCTATCTCATACTTTATGAAAGATAGAGATTGCTGTACATAAAAGGGTACATATTTTGAGTCCCCAGACACCGCAGGCCGGTAGACCGGCCAACCTGTAGTCATGTCAAAATAGACTTTATGAACCTACCTGTCCTATCATTCATTTATCACATGTCACATTTCACAATGTCTTAGATTTACAACACACTTAATTTAGTGAGAGTGTGTTTATTACGGTAAAGGGGCCACCGGCCCATTATACATGAAACTTGACATAATAAGCGCTGAAGCGCCATATAATATGATTACAGTTTCTGTTTATGCAAATATTAAATGATGGACATCCATATTATGCAAAATATTTACTACGTTTCTTTAAAGCTAAAAAGATAAATTTAGCCAATTTATTTATGACTGTGATTTTCCTTGATGTGAATAATAAAATAAGCTTATTGTTCGATGGGAATTTATAATAAAATTCTAGAATAAGACTTTCTCTTAAGTCCTGATAAAATGGACTTTCAAGACAAAAATGTAGTTCTGATTCAATATTAGGTATTACACAAAAGGGACAAAGGCGGTTCTTACGGTCAAGTTTGAGACGTCGACCGTACTCAATCATTAGGTCGTGGTTGGAACAGCGGAACTTGCATAACGCTATGCAATAAACTTTTACATTAATTACATTAAAATAATCTTCTTCGCTTAACTGCACCTTAATTTGTCTGTACATTTCAAGTTTAGAATATTTACCAAGGTCTGATAGCCAATTTTGAACGTCAATGTCAATACATCTTTGTTTAAACTTGACTAGAAATTGTTGGACATTGACAACACGCTGCTCCATCCATACCTGTCCAAAACCATAAGTGAACAATAGGTTTTTTACTTTTAGTGCCCAGCAATCTATATTTTTCTCAGCTAAACTATACTGATATCTATATACATTGTACAATATTATATTTTCCCTTTGACTTATGCACCTCATCCAATATTTAACTATCTTATTGTGTTTATTGACATTCAAAGAGTACCTGCCAAGCTCACCACGAGCTACAATGTTCAGAGTCGAGACAGAAAGTCTTAGTATTTGTTTACAAAACTTATCCTGAACATGAAGAATATTAGGCGAAGAGTGAAAACCCCAAACTTCGGCTCCATATAGCAAAATAGGTACAATTTTTACATCAAATTACATGCAATAAGACCTTAAGTGGTAAACTATAAAAATCCTTAATTGATGATCTAGCTAATGATAACACTTTCCATGCCTGTTCAGCTAATATTTTCTGTGTAATATACCAACTGCCAGAACTCAAAAAATGAACGCCCAAGTATTTATACGATTTAACGATTTCTAGGTTTTCTCTACCCAAATAAAATTTCTCATATTTCCTCAATCTGCCAGCTTTTCTAAATAAAATAACTTTACTTTTACCAGTATTTATTTTAAGCTTCCATTTCTGACAATAGGAATCTAGTTTGTTAATTCTTCTTTGCAATCCCAATGGTGTACTGTTAAACAAAACAATGTCGTCTGTGAAAAGCAAAATAAACAACTCAATAAAGTCTAAACTTATACATCTTTGACTGTCTAGGGCTAGAAATTCCACCAAATCATTGATAAAGAAAGAAAACAAAAAGGGAGATAACTGGCACCCTTGACGTACGCCAAATGCACAATCAAAGAATGTAGTGTAACCCTTTTCAAGCGGGACACATGACTTTACTTTTGCATACATATTTCTTAATAAATTATACATTCTGCCTTAAACATTACCAGACCAGAGTTTGAATAAAAGACTTGTCCTGTCTACAGAATCAAAAGCTGCTTTCAGGTCAATGAAGGCACAGTAAAGGCGACCCTTATGGTTCTACTACACCAAATCAGTACCAGTTTGGACAGTGCGGTTTTCGTAGGGAGCCTTCAGTGCAGATCGAGAGATATCTGCAGGCTGTGATTGGAGGATATTCTG